CCCGACGACGACGCTCAGTGCATCCTAGCCCTGACTTCACCCTTTTTGCTGCTCAAACGAAACGCGTGTTGACGGCGAGGAGCGAGGGTATATCTACACGCTCTTGGTTCATCTCCTGTGCCGTTTTCGGAGGGAGCGCTCGCTTTGGAAGCCGTTACGTTCGAACCTGCCATTCAGTTAGCCTTTCCTTTTGGGTTTAGCGTGACATTGGCCTCGAACAACGCCTCGTTCCAGGTTACCTAATCACACAGAACATAATCTCGCACTCTTTTAGCACCTATGCTCATCGATATCGCCGTGGAGCACCCCAGTAGAGGCTCACATTTTGGCACTGAGCCCCGCCCCGCGTCCCGTCCCAGCTATTGTTAATGGGCGGGCGGACGAGTCCGTAGACTAACTGTTTGACAGAAGGCATCGCTCTCTATTCACTGCAAGCCGTGTTTATGAAAAATTTCACGGCCTCAGTGATCATATCGAGTGCCGTAGAGTAAATGGGCTCACACCCCCTCTCGACCTATATTCACACTCAAGTATTCGACATACGGAAAGGTACTCAGCTGAACAATCGGTACAATTCAAGGGGAGGTGGGCAGCTTATCCGCATTCAGACGAGCATAAGGTGCGGGAAAGGGGCAAGAACCTCTTCTCATACTTGATGGTGGGTGCCTCTCTTGTACTGAGTCACAGGTACTGAACCAACGATTCTTGAAACTCGTCTCCGAATCACGGGTACAGGGAGCCTTTCCTTGTACACCATTCCCATTCTCGTCTGATCCGTTCAGGCGGCGCCGAAGGCTAGTCCATGTTCTAATCGGATATCTGGTGGAGGAGGGGCAGTCATTTATCCACACCCAAACGTGTTTGGTATCCGCGAGAGATAATATACAGTGTAAGTCTCTACCCAACGCACTGGCCAAAACGGCATCACCCCAAGTTCTCAGGACAAGCAAGAGGTGAGTTCGGGCCAGTTCTTTACAGGATACTTTTCTACTTTGGAGCGGCCCTTGACTATCTCGCCTTGCATATCCCAGCGGATAACAGACCCATCA